AAAATTTTATAATAATAATTTAATATAAATATATTTTAAAAGACTCTTTTTTGATAATTATTAATTTTAAATATATTAATTCATATAAAAATATTTGAATGGTAGATTCAAAATAACTTTAAACGTTAAAATTTATTCAAGTAATTAAAATTTTAAAAAAAATAAAGTCATCTGGCATCTATAATTTGATTATTGATATTAAATGTAATTCTTGTAATATAATATGAATATAATAGTAAAATTTATAATTGTTAGTGCGTGAAAAAATCTGTTAATTATAATGATTAATAGTTATAATTTTTTTTTATAGATAAAAATATATCATTCTCTTATAACTTCTCTTTAGATGTACTTCCCTTATTTTCTCATATTATATTGATATTTTTCGTCTAGATAATCTTAAATGGGTATTTATAAGTAAGAAACTCAAATTGAAGTGACTGGACACCCACACACCAAAATAATAAATTTATGTGGAGTTGATGAAACTTGCCAGAAGTGTTAACACCTCAAGCTGAAGTACCGACACCTCACTAAATCGGTGAAGGAAGAAAGAGTCGGGTCGGACTTTTGTGCCGAAATGGTTTTTTATTTGATTTTATTTTTTATTTTGATGCCAAAATGCGGTTTGGTTTAATGGCAAAATGACAATACTGATTTCTAACTTCTGGGTTTTGGGCATTTTAAACCTCAGATTTCTGAGCATTTCAGTTTGGTTCTAAAGTTTTGATTTCTTCCAGTTTAATCCTTTCTTACACAATAGATAAAAATTATGTAAAATGAAATAAAATTTTATAAAATTTGTCTAAATATCAATAATATTATGGTAAAAAGTCCATATTAATATATATGAAAATTTAGCTCATTAGATTGCTTGACCTTTAAAATACACATAAAAATACTCTAGTAATTGAAAGGAGGGAGCGGCAACAAATAAATAATTTTATTTTCAATTGAAAATTAATCATAGATAACCTCTCCAATTACAATTTTTCAACAAACAAAGTGATTCTTTTTCACCCGTGTCATTAAAGTTATCTTGTATTAAAATCTACATATTTAATTTTCACATTATTAAACCATTATTTTTATAATAAGACCAATGAATTCATGCTTAAAATTATCATGCTGTGATAAACTCAAGAAGTGAAAAAATAAAACAAAGAAAAAATAATTTAACTGCATATTTGGAAGGCCAGCGGGGACGCTCATCTAAGACTAGTTGGTAACGATGCTATGCTCTAGAAAGTTTAATTTGTGCAATTTGGGTTGTGCTTGCAGAAGACCTCTGTGCAATTTGGTAATTGGAAGTGATTCCATTTGAGTTGGTGGAGTAGGTGAGACAATTTGGATTGTGCTCGCAGAAGACCTTTGTGCTATTTGGTAATTGGAAGTGATTCCATTTGAGTTGGTGGAGTAGGTGAGAATAGTGTTTAAAAGTCTCCCGTAAAAAATTTATGTGCTTAAATATAAGAGAAAAATGAATTACAACATTATGTTTTTAAAAATATTAGGATGTTCAATCTCAGGACATGGTTCATGAGATAAAATTGATTTATAATATGTAAATTAGTTAATATTATTAAACAAAAAAATTAAAATATTTTGATATTAAAAATTTTAATCAATATGATACATAAAATTTTAGATCTTTTAACTTTTTAATACATTTTAATTTTTCATGTTAGATTGTTGAGATTTGAGGTTGTAACATTTTTAATAGAATTATTATAGTTACAATGATACGTTTTAAAATTTCAATATTACGTAATATTATAATTTTATAATATAATATGTCATTATATAAATAAATTTTTTTCATTTAAAGATTCATATGTAATATTTTATAAATTTATTTATTTAATATTATATTAAATTCATATAAAATTACATTACAAATGTAAATTTATAATTTTATATGATATTATAATTATAGTATTGAAACATTTTTAATACTAAAACTTATATTGTCAATTAATTTGAAGACACGGATCATGAACGGATGGGAGTGGAAAATCTACATACAAATACAATGCTTCCTACTACAACATAATTTTAACCAGCACAATAATTGCTTTTCCTCATCAACAATAGGAAAGATCAAACTCAAAACAATCAAACATCTACAATTTTTTTTCCAACCATATCCTCTATCAAACGTCCAATGGAAAGGAATGAAGATCCACCATCCTTAATAGCCTTCTTAGCAATGTCTGACATTTCCTTCACTCTCACCCTCACTTCACTACTGCCATCCATAACATGGTGCAGAGCTTTCTCTATCTCCCCTGCCATCACAAGATCGCCATGGCTCCTGTAATCCAATTTCAGCTCCACTGCTAACCCCAATTCCTTCACCATCAAGAAGGCATTGAGTTGTTGCTCAGCATACATAGGCCATGTCACAATTGGCACTCCATACCATAAACTTTCCAGAATCGAGTTCCATCCACAATGAGATACAAACCCTCCAGTTGCCTTGTGAGCCAGAACCTCCACTTGTGGCGCCCACTCGCATATCATCCCTTTCTCTCCGATCCTTCCCAAGAATCCTTCCGGTAACATATCTTCCAATGCATCTTTGTTATTTGGTGGTGACAGGCGCAGAGACCATAAGAATCTGTACCCACTCTGCTCAAGTCCAAGTGCTATTTCCCTCACTTGGGGTGGTTCAAAGCTCCCCATGCTCCCAAAACACAGAAAAACCACTGATGATTGCGGCTGATCATCTAGCCATTTCATTACCTTGTCGCATTGAGCGATATCCAAGTCAGGGTTAGGCTGGCCATTGAGGTCGAGCACAGGTCCAACCGGGTAGATTGGAGGGTGTTGGCTATTGGTAAAGTACTCAATTGCATAAGGCTCAAGCTCTTCCAATGCATTTACAATGATCCCTTTGGTGTCCTTGAATCTTTGAGCTAGTTTGAGGTAGGCAGTATACCCACCAAACTTGTTAAACATAGCTGAAGGCAGGACATTTACCGGAACAGGGTTGACAAAACCTGGAATCAAGAATTCTGGATCCGAACTTTCAACCTCTGCCCTGTTCTGTCCATGTCGAATCGGTAGCTCCATCATTAAACTCAAGAATCCTGTATTAGTCGTCAAGAACATATAGCAAGGAAGCTCCAATTCATTTGCAATATCAATCATAGGAACGCAAAAGAAATCAAGAACTAACCCGACGACCCGGGATGAACCCGAGACAGAGCAAGATGATACAATATCTGTTACGGTTTTTCTAACCTGGGGTATTTGCACTTCGATAAGGGAATATATATAGGCTTCCGCGGACTTGGTGAATAGATCAAGTGAAGGGTGGGTTACCGGGGGGAGGTCGACGAGCCGGATCCGAGGTTCTGAGGCAGTAAGAGGTTTGGTGTATGCATCAACAGAACCGAATGGTGCCTTCATGGAAAGAAGAGTGACGGAAATCCGGTCATCGCGGTGAAGTAGGCGCTTTGCAAGTTCGACGGTGGAGACTAGATGGCCGATTCCCGGCACCGGAATGAAGATCAGCTCTGCTTTCTCCATCTCTTTGCTTCTCTGTTTTTTCCTTTTTCAGGATTATTTAGTTTAAGTAAACTCCCCAATCGTATCGAGTGGTTCACGGTTCAGGAAGGAAAAAGACAACCCTAACTTCACTACCCTTTACATAGATCGATAAAGGTCGATTCACCTCTAAAAATATGTAAAATATCTATAAATATAAATTAAAATAAATTATTTATTTTTTAAAAAAAAATATCAAAAATTTATTTATCACATTAATATTTTTTAACCAAAAAAATTAAAAATAGGTAATTTATTTTAATTTATAATTAAAAAATCTATTCTTATATTTTTTTTAAAAATAAATCTACCCCTACTAATCCATTGAAAGAATGGATTTGAATTTCTGCCAATAAAAAAAAATATCACAATTGTTTCGAGAAAAGTGGGGTGCAGTTTAGCATACCCTCCACGAATTCTATTTTACTTAATTATCGATACAAAGACAGATTCCTAATGTCGAAAGCCTCCGTTGACTGTTTAAATTTAAAAGTAATGCAGCTTTCGGAATGCGGATTGGCCTATAAAAAATATTTATTTTAAGGAAGCATAATGATAAAGAGATAAATTTTATAAAATCAAAATTTGGGAGTAATATAATGACATGAATTATATCATTAAAAATATAAAAA